GCGGATGTAGCACTGTATGTCTGGAAAAGATTGCTCACATACAGATATATTAAGAATGAATGATTAAAACTAGTCCACAATACAAACCCTGCAAAGATGTACTATTGCTACAGCTGATTTTCATTTGTCTGTCAGATTCATGTTACGATGCTATCATCTCATCGTTACAGGGACACTTGGATCTTTTACTGAACACTTGAGTGCAAAGACTGCTAAAAATAAACCTTGTCTCGGGGGCTATATCACAGGTGCTAATTAAAGAAGTGCAAGGAGCAGTTAAGGAGAAAGAACAACACAGACGTCAGAGACAAGGCATGGCTAGAGAATACACATCCATAGAGAAATAATGGGCTGTGTTAGAGAAGGATGGGATTATTGCTCATTCATTGTATTTATTATAAATGGTCACAAAAAATGACATTTTTGGGTTTGTGCAAACCTGACAAAAGTCATGTCTGCTTAACCTCAAAAAATATAATAAACTAATCTAGTTCGTGCTGAAATTGTGCGTTCATGCCAACTAGTACTTGTTTATAGGCACAAATGGGACACAGACAGTGATGACAGATGCTGAAGAAAGTGCCTTACTCAGAGCTGGGCTGGGCTGCTTGATGGAGCCATCTGTGTGAGAGGTGATTAAATTAAATTGAATCATTTGAGTAAAACCTTGGGGGTGGAAAAACAAGGGGGGAGAGGATAGAAGAACTAGAGCAGTATTTTTCAACAAATGAAGAATGCAAACTTGTTGAAACCAGGGTTGTTGCAAAGGGAAGATGAAAGAGAGGTTAAGCTATATTGCAAATCACATTAAAGCAATAGTGATATATAATCAATATTTACCCGTTTCAGAGGGTCGTGTTTGGTTCTCAACGGCAATGGATGTGCCGCATCCCATGATGGTACTGCTTGCTTCAGGTCATGAATCTCTGAAATCCTTGAGGTTCTCTTCTTCCTTTAGTATGCAGAAAACCTGTGCAAAGAAATAATACAGAAAGATTGTAACTGACCTTATTTGTACCAAGACTGCAAACACATATTCAGGTTTGGGGGAAACAAATATAATAGTTTCACAGTTTTTTTTTTTTCTTTTTTCTTTTTAGTTGAATACAAATCTGAATATAAAAAAGATGTATCCTCCTGGCTGTTACCACTATTAATAAAACAGACCTAATATTTAATTTTAGGGTTGTTTTGATCTTCATAATGAAGTGGCATTAGAAAAAAAGCAGCACTGTTTGGAGCTAATCCATCATTAAAATAATGTGTCTGTGGAATAAAGCAAGATACTTACTGCAAATCATGCTGGACTTTAATCTGTGCCCTAAAGAGCCTTTCAAAGGGCCCTTTTAACAGTGATCAATCCCTGGGAGCGGGCACAGGGAGAGAGATGTAGACTGTTGATTGTCATCTTCACAGAACAGAAATATCATAATAGTTGACTGAAATATTTTGACTTTATTTTTTATCACTCTCCAAATAAGCTTAATATTTTCAAACGTTATATTTAAAAACATTACTGACACGGTATTTATTACTTAGCCACAACGGCAGAACAAACATTCTTACAATTCTCTAACAACGCATAGGAAACGATATCCATAAGTTACCTTCCCGTTGTCCATCATTCAGTACGACACGTATACGTTGAGAATTAGAGTGGGAAAGACGTATGATGAAAAATCAAATATTAATTTCCAAACGTGAAAGGATGCGATAGATAAACATCACAGGTGTCAGATGAGGCTAGCTTGCAGGAAACGCAGAGGCGGTTTGTTTGACGATTTGAGAACACCTCTCTTTTGATTCGTGCGAGTCTTGTGGGGGGTTTGGTTCATCCCTGTGACTCGAATCATTTGGATCAGTTCAGTTAAAAGATTTGTTCACTATAGCCTATGCAGTTGCGACAATTGTGGCGAACAATACAGTGCATTTTTGAGTAGGCTAGTCAGTGAAATATACTGTAAGTGTCAATAACTGAATGTTATCATTATAGTCTCTGAAAAAGTCCTTGCCACATTCATTGTATCAGTTTACAAGTCCATATTTGTCTGCATGTTGTGAACAAGATTGATTCATGTGAAGAAATAAACGCGATCTTGTTGAACCATTCTTTCACGATCAGTAAACCAAATTTATTACTCCTTAATTTACCCCCAAATTAAAACTCTTTCATTAATTACTCACCCTCATCAAACTCGCAAGACTTTCGTTCATATCTTCGGAACAAAAGGGATCTTTTTGATGTGGCATCTGAGAGATTTCTGACCCTGCAACCTGATGCTTCAAAAAGTTAATAGAGAGATAGTAAAACTAATCCATATTCATTTGTTAGTTATATAACGAAGTATAGTTAATGTTGAAGAGACAGACATGATCGCTATGAACATTGAATTCAGGCTTTTATTCACATACAGCAAACCGTTACTGAAGCTCAACCAAACTTGCTTGTTTGGCATGAGAGAACAAACATGCTATGTTTGTTGCAGAAGCTCAAACGTGCTGGGAAGTGAATTTAACCCTTTCGCTAAGCCCCGCCCTCCCTAGTTACTGTTGCTACGTCTGTCAAATTTCGCAGCATGCACTGGTGTCAGACATTCCCAATGAGATAATTAGTAATTTTTGAAAAAAAACTTCCAGGATTTTTCTCCATATAGACTAATGGACTTCAATGGGAACCAAACGGTTCAAGGTCCAAAAGACAGTTTCAGTGCAAACTGCAAAAAGGGCTTTAAACGATTTCAGGGATCAAGCGAAACGATCGGTCATTTAAAATAATAACAAAGTTTAAGTTTTATGAGCTCAAATGGTTGCCTTGCGCTGTTCTGTGATGCGCGTTCGTAACTCTCCTGTTCGAACTCGTTCGTTTATCAAAATGATCAAATCTTTTTTCATGTCATTTGGTTCATTCAACGAACTAAATGAATGAGTTGACTCTGGAAAAGATTCGTTCATTTTGGTGAACGAGTTTGAATAGGAGAGTCAACGCGCAACACAGCAAGGCAACCATTTGAGCTGATAAAAATTCAACTTTATTTTTTTTTTTAAATGAATGATCGTTTCGCATGATAAGACATTTATTCATCGTCTGAAATCCTTTAAAGCCCTTTGAACAGTTTGCACTGAAACTGTCTTTTGGACCTTGAACCGTTTGGTTCCCATTGAAATCCATTATATGGAGAAAAATCTTGGAATGTTTATCAAAACCTTAATTTCTTTTCGACTGAAAGAATGACATGGATATCTTGGATGACAGGGGTGAGTATTATCAGCAAAAGTTTTTTTTTTTTTTTTTTTTAAGTGTAGGCTACTCCTTTAAGATCGTAGAAAAATTCTAAAGAAATTTGAAATCTATTAGGTGGCGATGTCCATCAGTAAAGCATAGGCCTTTAGCAAAAATAAGCAAACATGGGCCAGGCAGGGTAACAAAAAATATTTTTATTTCAACAAATAAATATTTACAAGTCAACTAAAAGTACTATACATTAAAAAGCTTCTATTAAAAACATTCAATGTTCAGGCGCCAGCCAGAGCGGCTGGGATTCTGCGGGGTCTCAGTTGATTCCAGGCCTCCAGAATCTCCCTCCGCGTGATGATCCTGTGGCGGCTGAAACAGGAGATGCGCGCGGCCTCTAACCCCACTCTCTGCAGCAAATATCTGCTTACACCCCTGGACTCATGGACGCGTCTCACTGCTGCCTGGTTGTTCTGTGGAATTCAGTTTTATGCGCAGTCATTTACAACTAATGCTGTTTAATCATTTGTGGACTTATAAAACACACCTGTTGTTGTCGGACCGTGTAAATGGACGCGGCGTGTCCTCTTGTTCTTGCAATGGAGCTTCTAGATGCCGAGCATCGCTTGCTTTTAAGGCCAGGTGCTTTCATGATGGAGAGAGAAGTGTGTGATCTACAGTAATTGTCGCTGAAGCGATAGTACTATTTAAGGTATATGTAATCAGTCCCCTAATGACTACAAGCTGGTGCATGCTTTCTCAATTGGACTTGAATTGAGTCAATCGGTCAATTCAAATCAATCCAATTCATATTTATTTGTATAACGGTTTTCACAATACATTATCGTTTCAAAGCAGCTTTACAGAAAATGCATGGAGTGATCTGTTATCAGAGGTGACTGACAAGTTATATTTCAGAAATGTAGATATAGGCGAGCTTACAAATCACATTTAGCAAATGTATTAATTTAAACTATATTAATTTGAGGAAGAAGCAGTCAACTCATTGAAGTAATGAATAGGCCTACATGTTGTTAACAAAATGGATTAGGTCAAATCAAAAACACAGAAACACAGATACAACGCCTTTCATGCAATGAACTTGATCTTAATCTTATTTCAGCACATTTTCTGAACATCAGCATTTATTCCATGTTCTTTGACCAATTATATTTCTCTCTATTTAGTGATCTGTGTATTTATATCACAGAGTATAGTTTTTATTTATTTGTTTTTTGATGGGCATTCATGAGCACAGTAAATCATTTAGAATTTTTATTTATTTTGTTTTGTGGAAAAGTAAAATTAGATCATTGGGGTAAGCTGAAAGACCATGAGGGCATGTTATATTTATTATTATTTTAAAATAATTATTCAGTAATAACCATGAATAAAATTATTTAAAACTAATTTAAATCAAAGAATTTAAAACTATTTTAAATCATAATTGTTTATATTATATAGAAGTAAATTATATATATATATATATATATTAATAACAATTGCATACATTATGCAAATGTTATAAAATACTATTTTAAATCATAAATGTTTATATTATATAGAAGTAAATTATTTAAATATATATATATATATATATATATATATCAGTAATAATTGCATAAATTATGCAAATGTTTATAAGAAAATGCTTATTTCCCCTAATAACATATTGAATCCTGTACATTTACTGATAAACTTGAACTTTTGGACTTTTGTTAAAGGAGTGGATATGGATCCAAGTTGAGGATTAATAAATTGTAGAATACACAAGAGAGAGACGTTCTTTAATCAATGCCATTGTTTTTCAGGTAAGCCACAAACACAATTAAACAACGTAGGCTCATAATAAATATACAAAAAGGAATTAGTCATATCAGTGGGATTAAAACACCATCACAAACCACATCAGAACTCACAATAACAACATTCAGTACAACTCCATGCGATATCTGATTTGCCAAAGCAAAAAACTTTTTTGTTCATAAATCAAATAAAAGGACAAAAATAACAAACTCTTTTAAAAAAGGAAAACATCTTCAACACAAATGAATGCAACTATAACACATTCTAATGATTATTTCCACCTTGAAAATACCATAAAATAAAATCGAAACAAGTGCAGTGATTGGGCAGTGATGTTCACTTTGTCATGTTGTATTACAAGAAAGGGGGCGGTACAGGAACCAGTTGGGTATGACTTTGCTGGAATGTGTTCCAGATCAGGTGCATTTATTCATGCATAGTAGCAGCTCCATGCGGATGGCGATGCGAGTGTGCCAGCCAAGAGGGAGGATGCGGATGTAACGGGCTACAATAGGTGGACGCAGCAGGTTCTGGACTGTGGAAGAACGGTCAGAGTTTCCATAGAACACCTGAGGAAAAAACAAGTAAGTGTAGAGAACAAATAAAAAAATAGTAGGTCTTGTGATTTTCGTCTTGGATCCTTATTATTTCAGGGTGGGCTGTTTGTCTTCTTACCCTGTTGTTTCCAGTTTGGTCCTTGTAGTAGATCCAGTTGAGTTTCTCAGTGGTGCGGTACTGCACAGAGTACTTGGTTACCCACTCATCAGAGTCACAGCGTCCCTGGGTCAGGATCCCAGAAACCGATTTGATCTCCTTTAGGTCAATCTGAAGCCACTGGTTGGTATCCTGGAACTTAGACAGCCAAGCACACCTGGGACAAGAGAGAAACACAAACGTTGCAGTCAAAGTGTCTTCTTCAAGGCCAAAATCTCTAAAATATTTTTAAAAGTCTCATGCTTAGCATCATTTGATCAAAAATACAGTAATGTTGTGAAATATTATTATGTTTTCTATGTTAATATATTTTAAAAATGTAATTAATCCTTTGATGACGAAGCTGAACTTTCCACATCATTACTATTACGAAGTATTCAGTGTCACATGATCCTACAGAAATCATTCAAATAGGCTGATTTGCTGCTCAAGAAACATTTATTATTATTATCAATGTTTAAGACAGTTGTGCTGTTTACTATTTGAGTGGGAAATGTGATAAAAACAATCAGGATTTTTGATGAATAGAAAGGTCATTATTTAAAAGCATTTGATTTAAATATTTTTTTTTGTTTGTTTAATGACTACTTTTGATCACTTTAATGAATCCTTGCTTAATCAAAGTACATTTAAAAATCTTACTGACTCCAAACTTTTGTTGGGGTTTCACATCACAAATATTACGAAGAAACAGCAAGTAATACATTGAATTAAACATGACATTTTAAAATATAGAAAGTATAGAAAATATAGAAAGAATGTAGGATTTAGTGTTAATTTACACTGAAAAAAACATTGTTGATTTAACTTAAAAAATTGAGTAACCTGGTTGCCTTAAAATTCTAAGTTCATTGAAATGGAAAAATAGAGTTCATCTAATGAAGGAGATTGATTTAATCACCAGAAATTCAAAATATTATGTTATCTGAACTACATCAATTATTTAAGTTGATTTGACAAAAGAAAAAAATGTGATTACAAATCATGAAAGTATTTTTTTACAAGTATTAATTTTGATTTATTGTTAGGACAGTGTTAAATTGTTTAAGGGACGTGTGGTCCCTTAAACAATTTAATGATAAAATTCAATTTAATCCAGTCAATGATCAGCCTTATAGAGTATAAAAACAACAATGTTTCACTCAAAAAGGCAATACTTGAAAGACAGGACTTCCTTTCCTACAGCCGCCACACTAACGTTTCAGAGAACTCACCCAAACCCTTGGCTGTTGAGTCTTGCCTTGCTTGCAATCCAGGAGGAGAACCAGCCTGTGTACTGGTCTTCATTAGAACAGCTCATCTGATCTGAAGTCACAGATCCTGCCTCAAAACCCAGGGGCTTATGGTAGGGACACTCTGGACAGACAATTGAGAAGAAATCTTAAGAATAGATCACATATAATTCGGAGTGAAAGCCGCACAATTCAGGTTTTCTGACTCTAAAGGTTGTTCTAAATGACCAAAATCTATGGACAGGCCCATTCAACACAAGCCTGCAGGATGTCCAACATGTCTGACAGACATTAGTCACGCGATCAGAGATTCCCTTGTCAAGCTGCGTTAAAGGGAAATGGACAAAGCGTTAATCTGGCGACTCTGTAATTCTGTGCTTCCATTCTTATGCGCGTGACTTTACAATCCCAAAAGCTTCAGTTCCGCATAACGAAAGATCAACATCCACTAAGACTAGGTTGACAGATGGTCACGTTCTACACTTAAGCTCCAGTCCTACAGCAATGTCTTTACATAACAGTCCCTGTTTTCAAGGATTTAGGATGCTCTTTTTGACATGCCTACTTCTGGTTTTGATTTGAATGAAATCAAGCGAAAATAAAAGGCATTCTGATTCAGCAATCGTGAATTTTTTTTTTTTCAGGGAAAATGTGTTAATACACTTAATTGTCAATAGTTTGATTGATAGGTTCTATTCTTGGTAATCTCAACACAACAGGATCTAAAAATTGCTGGGTTGTTTTAACCCAACTTTGCGTCAAATATGGACGAACCCAGCCATTGGGTTAAAATTTTTAATTACGTTTTTGTCCATATTTGACCCAAAGTTGGGTTAAAACAACCTAGCATTTTAACAGTGTGTCCATCACTGTGATTCTTGAGTCTTTATTTTCATTTTTCATCTCAACTTTCCTCCCTTTCATTTGATTCCAACTAGTGCCGTGCAACGATTAATCAGATTAATTGCATCCAAAATAAAAGTTTGTGTTTACATAATATATGCACTCTAAAAAATGCTGGATTGTTTCAACCCAAATGTTGGGTTAAAAATGTACAGTTGAAATTTTTTTTTTTTTTACCCAACATTTGGGTTTGTCCATATTTGACCCAAATTTGGGTTGACACACATGCATGTGTATATTTAAGAAATATTTGCATGTATATCATATTTATACATTATTTAAATTAGGGCTGGGCAGCGATTAATCGCATCCAAAATAAAAGTTTGTGTTTACGTAATATATATGTGTGTGTAGTGTGTATAATTATTTTGTATACATAAATACACACACATGCATGTATATACTTCATATATATTTATACATAAATAATATTATGTGTATAAATAAATATTTGATAAATTAAGAACACATTTTCTTAAATATATACATGCATGTGTGTGTATTTATATATAGAAAATAATTATACACACTACGCACACATATATTATGTAAACACAAACTTTTATTTTAGATGCGATTAATCGCGATTAATCGTTGCCCAGCGCTAATTTAAATATTTTATACACAGTATACACACATATATTATGCAAACACAAGTTTTTAGTTTGGATGTGATTAATCGTTGCCCAGCCCTAATTTAAATATTTTATACACAGTACACAAACATATATACTATGCAAACACGGATGCGATCAATAATCGTATTAACACACAGTCTCTGAGGATTCAGAACACGAGCTGCTCTGTGTTAATGGAGCATGTCTGCCCTGTGGTGGTGTGCCAATGGGATGCGGTGATGGGACACATGGCCCAGGTGAAGCCGCAACCGAATGATTAATGACTTTCTGCACCGCTGACCGGGAGCCAGCTCATTCGCACATGTCCTGCCTTCTGTTTCCAAAGGGCACCTGCCAGTGCCAACTATAATCCATCCATCTCAATTCTCAAAGAGTCAATGTTAGCGCAAAGCACCGTTCAGAAGTTTCACACTCCTGACAAAACGAGCATAAAGCATTTCAGTGGATTCACAATTCACCCTCAGCCAGTACTTTGACACATTTTGAACCATGATGCAAAACACTCACATTATACTGTCACAATTAGTGCTTAGAGAAAAAAAAAAAACAAGATTAGTTAAATGCATTTTTCTTCCATATTTCATTCTTACCTGGCATGCAGTCCATCTGCTGCCCCCAACTTGAAGAAGAACCTTTGGAAAGCAGTTTTCTAGAGGATTCATCACAGTCACACTTGCAGGTTTTCTCAGCCCATGTGTCGTTGCCCTCGCCATCCTAAGCACATATCAACATGGTCATCAATATTGTGTATTAATTGTCTCGGCCAATATCAAATGTTTTTAATTACCTCTTGCGCTTGCAGCCCAACAAAACCTGGGAGAGTAAAATACATTATCACATACGGCTAAATGAAATGCACATTATACAACCATAATACACAATCATTTTTGTTGATATATTTAGATTATCGTTAACATATTTTTTCAGTGTTTATTTTAAAATGTAATCAATGAATTGAATCTCTGCTAATTTAGTCAAAATAATAAAAAACACAACAACATCAGCACATACCTTTAGACACCAGCAGGATGGCTATCAGTAACGTGTTCTGCCGTCTGTACTCCATGATGGTCTATTTTTCGAGTGGTGGACCACCGCACTGATATTTAAGGGGCTGGATTACTGTAATCCACAGAGCACTAATGGCCTTATCTAATGCCCGTTATCTCAAAGCTCCTCCCTTTAATGCTAAAAGCTAGTTTGAAATTGTTCACATCCCAGTCCGAGCCTTATCTTTTAAAAAAAGAGAGAAATAGCCAAGTGATCCCAGATTTTAATGGCGGACGGTCACCTTCTGTGACCCAGTTAATGGTTCAATGCATACAATTAACTAACTCAATTCAACTTCTCAGGCAATTTGTTGATGCAAATCTCTTCATACAATTTGCCATTTCATAGAGAGATCATAAAGGAGTAGTTCACTTTCAAAAAAACATTTGCTGATAATTTACTCACCCCCATGTCATCCAAGATGTCCATGTCTTTCTTTCTTCAGTCAAAAAGAAATTAAGGTTTTTGATGAAAAGTTGAACATTCCAGGATTTTTCTCCATATGATGAACTTCAATGGGAACCAAACGGTTCAATGTCCAAAAGACAGTTTCAGTGCAAACTACAAGGCATTAAACGATTTCAGACGATGAATAAGGGTCTTATCAAGCGAAACGATCACTCATTAAAAAAACTTTAAGTTTTATAAGCTCAAATGCTTGCCTTGCTCTGTTCTGTGATGCACGTTTGTGACTCTCCTGTTTGAACTCGTTTATCAAAATGAACAAATCTTTTTTCGTGTCATTTGGTTCATTCAACGAACCAAAAAACGAGTTGATTCTTGAAAAGATTTGTTCATTTTGATGAATGAGTTGGAATTGGAGTCACAAATGCACATAACATAGGAAGGTGACCATTTGAGCATTTTTTTTTTTTAAATGAGCGATCATTTCGCTTGATAAGACCTTTACTCATCGTCTGGAATCGTTTAAAGCCCTTTGAACAGTTCGCAGTTTGCACTGAAAGTGTCTTTTGGACCTCAAACCGTTTGGTTCCCTTTGAGGTCCAATATATGGTGAAAAATCCTGGAATGTTTTCATCAAAAACCTTAATTTATTTTCGACTGAAGAAAGAATGACATGGATATCTTGGATGACATGGGGGTGAGTAAATTATCAGCAAAAGTTTTTTTTTTAAAGTGAACTACTCCTTTAAAGGCGGGTGTCTTTCATCCTTTCTGTGTCATGATAATTATTTTTTTTTTTTATTATTGGTCATCACAAAGACATGAGCTTTTATGGTGTTGGCAACGAAATGACATGCTAGGACATAGTTGGGTAGACATTGTTTTAATTGTTTTTAATTACAGCGGAATATACATTATAAACGCTGTTGGAGTCAGACATGCCTGGACTTAAATCAAACAACTTGTACCCTAAAGAGAACACACAGACAAATAGTCTTCACAAAAGACATAGACAAAGTGCTGAGTGAGTGGTGAGGATTATGTTCGAGCTAAATGTTGTGCATTGGTGATTAAAAAAAAAGTTATAAGCTAATAACTTTCAGTTAACAGACTCGATCGATTGAATAGATGCAGGCCCAGACAGAATCTGCAGACTTTTATCACATTTTCTGTGCTGATTTTAGGGTGGAAATATAAATGCATGTTAAACATAACTGGAAACACAGAAAGCAGTGAGTGAAAGTAACATTTTAGCAGCGACGGATGTGAAGAAAACTGAAGATTCAGCGTGGGCCTGATAGATGTAACAAAGGTGATGGCTGTTGTCTAAAATGAAAGTCACATTCTGATTGGTTGGATTGGATGTTTTGATGACTACTGTTTGTTATGTCAATCCCGTCAAGCAGAAGGGGTACATATTGGGTATGGACCATGTTCTCAATTCAGCAAAGAGGATTCAAACAGACTGCGAAAACTTCAACATATAATAGGAACAGTCTTAACATTTAAATAAGACGAAAACAGATGCCTTTCTTAGTACATTCTATGACAGACTCGGTAGTCAGTCCACTAAAATAAAGAGAGTGAATTCATGGAACAGACAAATTGAATGCTCACATGACAGAATAAACTCTTTTGTTCCTGATAGATTGTAAACCTTTGGCCTTACAAGACTTCACAATGGCTTTAGTTGGCACAACAACTGCTTCAGACAAAAATGTGGCAGTGATTTTGATACATAAAAGGTGGAATAAACATGAGTAGAAAAGAGAGTCCTGTTTTCGATAACCATGAAAGATGCAAAGTGACCACTGGGCCGTATTTGCATTAAATACGTACATTCTTATGCAGACATCAACATTTGTCCAATGGTAAACAGACACAAGAATTCAATACATTACATTCTAAAAGGACAGAGCTTTTACACATTGCCAAGCCACAGAAAAAAAAGAAAAGAAAGAACAGCCATACGCAAATATGAGATTGACTAATTGTCTTAATATATTTGTTCTATCCTGTGGGATGAACCTGAATGTTTATATCCCTGCATTCAACGGCTGACACTGAAAAGCAAATGGGCATCCTCTCTGGATGATAGATGCTACAAGCCAATATAACACGAGTGTCTATGGCTATTAAACCATGACAGATGAGTTGACAGTACCTGCAGGTATACTATGGCAGTGAACCAAGAAACACTCAGAAACACCTTCACAATATCATTTAAGGCAGTCAAAACCCTGCTCACTCAGTCAGAAGATGAATAGAGGTAAAGTGGGACCAAATTGTCAGTCGTTTTTTTTTTTAAAAAAAAAGTTCCAAATGGCTAACAATGTTCATATTGAGGAGATGGTTGAAAGTAATTTTTGGATGAACTATCCCTTTAAAGCTACACTGTGTAACTATTTTAGTTTATTCTTAGCGAAAAACACTTAGTTCTTTCAAAAATATATGTGCTCATTAATGTATATTTATTTCGTTCAAGTAATAAAGTATTCTCGTGAGTGTATAATATGCCACTGAAAATACATACGGGTAAGGGGTTCTAATGTTGGACGCCATGTTGCCCCTCCATCTTGAAAGTACATTAGCCAAAGAGGGACATACTCTTAATTCAAGCTTCGGCTTTCGCGTTTACGTTCCAGCCAAGTTAATCTTGAACTACATTGGCCACCGTAGGAGTTAAAACGAAATCGGAATTGAGAGGAAAAGAAACTAATATTTATTGGATGGTCATATATCTTTTCACCACAAGATGGGGTAAAAATCACAGTGCAGCTTTAAGCTTAAATGTCCACTTCAATGTACGATTTTGTAATGTTTTTAAAAGCGTATGCTCACCAAGGCTGCATTTATTTGACCAAGAGTACAGTAATAACAGCAATATTGTGAAATATTACTACATTTTTAATTAATTTTCAAATGTAAAGCTGAATTATCCGCAGTGAACTTTTCCACTCCTGTCTTCAGTGTCACATGATCCTTCAGAAATCATTAATATGCTGAAACATTTCTTATTATTATCAATGTTAAAAACAGTTGTGCTGCTTAAACCTTTTTCTTTTCAGTATTCTTTGATAAATCAAAAAGAAAAAAAAAAGAACTGAACCCAAACTTTATTTACCCTGGCTATATCACACGACTATCAGGCTCCATTTTGACAGAAATGTTGGTAGACGCAGCCCTTGGGAGAAGAGTTTTCTATTTTAACGTTTAAAACTAGCTTTTGTAATATTTTAGTACTCTAGGGAAGTGGGTTTGCCCTGATATTCAGTTAGCATGATTCCACGCCAGTCAATACATATCAAAATCAAAATAATGGTGCTTAGTAAACAAAAGAAATTCAGATTCAGTCACATTCTACATGGTTTTTTAGCAAGTTAATAAGGCCAGTCATAGATTACCACTCACAGGCGACCTCACCACAGCTGGCGACAACCAAACAGTTTATCTTGGCAGTCCTAACAGCTGGCTGATGGAGGATTACCTGGCACCGCGGAGACAGACTGTGCCAACGTACTGCAGATTAAAGGATGTCAGAGCGTTTATGGACAAGGTGTTAATCCAGTAGTGATGGAATCACATTCTAATGCTCGTGTATGGTGAAATACGATGAAATCGGCAGACCACATTACTCAGGAACAAAGTGATTCATGTCACTAAAAGTAACCTGGAAACAAGGAAACGAAAAGTTCCAGAACGAGCATAGAAGAATCATTTCTTCCTACAAAACAAAAGTCAACACTTGCATGGCAGTTTAACCATGAAAGACAACACAGCAGTTAAATAACAAAACTGAACTTAATGACTGAACCTGATTGCTGTTGCTAAAAAAAAAAAAAATCTATGTATAGCACAGAAATATTGCAGAGACAACAGAATCAACAAAGATATAAATAAGGACAGATAATAATAATAATAATAATAAAAAAAAACTGACTGTATGATGTAAATGCCAATAACTGTAAAAGTCTATACAGGACCGAATTAGGATTATTCATGTTCAAGATACACATTCAAGTACAGTCTAATCTATACAGTATGTGGCTGTACTTGAATAACATGAATAATCTTAATCCAGTCATGTAAAAGACAAAGTTCATGTATTGTAAGATTAGATTAGATAGGTGCAAAGTTCTGTTTTAATCAAACACCATATCAACACACAAACACCTGTGAGAAATGTCTGTTTAAAGTGCACCATTGAAAAAAAAAATATTGAAGGACACATTACTGAAATGAAAATGCTCTGTCACTCTCTTTTTTTGGGGGGAAATGCCCGTCATGATAATCAAGGTAAATAAATAAAAATGTACTACTCAGAAGGAACTCTGTGACGGTCCGGATGATAAATTCACCTCAAAGTCGTGATATATTGCTCTGTTTGCATTGTTATTAAAATGCCTGGAATCCTTACAGCTATTTTGCATATTTTATATCCATCTAATTCTGTATTTTTAAAATATAATTGAACAAGATGTACAGCGAAAGCCTGAATGGAAACGTGTTGCGTTTCAGGGGCCACTCAAAAATCTCCCTGCGTCTCCCCTGCAGAGTCCCCGCCAACAGATCAATACCTGCATCACGTCTTTGAAACCCTTTTACCAGGTCCTGAGGCAATGCTTTTATCTCTTCAAAAACATGCCGTTAAATGGATTAAAACAAAACCGCCAGTTATTCGGTTTGTTAGAAGAATCATGCGCACATGCAACCGAATCCCCGTGAAGCGACCGCTGAAAGTCACGTCAGGACGGAGATACGGACTTAACTCTCACAACCTTGAGCAAAGCTGCTTGTAAACGCTCGTGCCACAGGCAAAGTCACACTTATTCACCAGCTGGTGGGGTCTAGATCGCAGAGGGAGACACGGTGAGGCCCTGGGGCCCTGAAATTCATTATTCACAGGAAATCCAGCTCTTCAGGGATCTGGGCTCTAATGAACTGACTCCAAAAACAAGCACTATCTGATGTCAATTTTGAATGGCGAGCTCATGAGAAACATTGCAAGACACCGCTTACAGGCAAAGTGAGACAAATAGCCATCATGGGACGCCGATTTAATGGTCTCGCATGAACACCGAACCGGTTTAGGAAGCATCAGTAGTTGTACGTTTTCGATAGGGGTGATTCAGACGGTGTGAAATATAGACCTAATCTGCACTGAGAATTCATAAAGAGAGGAAAATAATTCAGAAACAATAAGTACTTGTGTTACAACCATAAAATGCACTCTGTACATTATAACTATTAACACACCAATAATTCATTAAATAATTTCCATGAAATATAGAATTATTACACATTAAATATTTATACATTCTCGTGTATAAACTAAAGCTCTTACAATTCCACAGATTTTTTTTTGTGTCCCCGTCCCTAAGTTTCCATATACAAATACATAGATTCATATCATCGTCAATAAGATATATTCAACAGAAAACTGAACCCAGATGTAATGAACAATAATACAAATTCTATCAAATGTGGATGCTTTAAAAAACAAATCTGAGACATAACTATTGCCACCTTCTGGCCAGAAGTGGCATCGTGTACCACTGTATGAACAATAGCATTCCATAGGTAGCCAGGAAGGAAAAGGAGAAACCAAGTACACTAGAGGCCACAAGGGGGCGTCCTCCTCTAAAGAGCCGTTTCTTTCAGATCATTGAGGTTCGGCATTCTAGGGCGAGCGGCTCTGGTAAAGCCGATACCGTTCTGCCCACCTTTGTTTGCCATTTGGTCTGGGTACGGTGCGCCCTCAGCCCGATTCAGTGCGGAGACGTGCCAGCTGGATTCGATCTGCCCCGGCAAAGGGTAGTTGTGGGGTTTACGGCTCTTGGTATTGGGGGTGACGCTGCCCGGTGGGTGCCCTCGGACCTCGTTCAGGTTCCCTTTGGTGGGGGGGTTAGGAAGGGGCTGGAAGCGCAGTTCTGCCGAGCGATCGGCTGGTGGGGGCTGATTGGACGTAGCGGGAGAGGAGAGGTGTAGGAGCTTCCGCAGGGATTTAAGAGGCTGGTTCTGAAACGGGGAAGCAAGATTAAAAATTCAAGTCTGTGCGTTTGCCTTTGCAATCATTCAATTAATAATGGATAGGGCCTACATATATTCAGCATGGATGCATTAAATAGATCCAGAAGTGACAGTAAAGATAATAAAGGTTTTCACTGCAGAAATTTCAACTTTGCCATCGATTACATTATAATATACTGTATATATGAATTTTTTATTTATTTAAAATTGTAATAATATTTCAAAATATTACATGTATTTGATCTAATGTGAACATTAGAGAAAGATTGGTAACACTGGAAATTGGTATTTTTTCATTTCCTACTATTACATGAATGAAAATGAACACTACTTCAACAGCATTTAGAAACATATTTCAACACTTTTTAAAATCTAAAGTTGTTTCCAATAACATTAGTCAATGCACTGCAAACTATCATGAACAAACAATAAAGATTTGCATTTTCATTAACTAACGCCAACAGATTATTGGTCACTGTTAGTTCATGTTACCTAATATTTTACTTAATGCTAATGAATAGGACCTTATTGTAAATTGTAACCAAACAAACAAAGGGATTTTACAATCAGATCGTCTGAAGTTTTTCTTACCTGAGGCTGCACGTCTGCCTGCTTTTCGGGTGGCCAAGTGTTGTCCCTGTCACGATCGCGATCCCTCTCGCGGTTTCGATCCCGGTCACGCTCCCTCTCCCTTTCCAGGTCACGTTCCCGGTCGCGATCTCGGTTGCGATGTCGACTGCTGTGATGAGACGAAGATTTGACTGGTCTCTGTATCATTATCTGGTCCTGCTGGGCCTCACTAGGAACCTGGCACACAGATCAAAACACAACACCAGTGAACGCTGGAATTTATATGAACAACTTCCACCTCTCCAAACAAAAGTTCACCCATAATCACGTGCATTAGGTCAGAAGACTGGAAACGTCTGTGAACCAGCTCAAGGCCTCCATTTGTATATAATTGAAACAATTTAAGGTGATCACTCCAATGACCAGCTGTTTCTGGAGAAGATGGATTATTGAAGATAAATAAAGAGCTGAGTGTTTTGGGACGTGCCCAGTTTCTGACCCTTTGTTCCAAAATGTGCAAGTGTTTTTTTAAGTGTTTGTGTACAGAAGACAGAGTTTGTATGTTTGAAGACCACTTCTCCTGCTCTCTCCCAGGTTGGGAGAACGGCAGATGAGAAAACGTGCATCCTCTTTGAGCAGGCGCTGCTAAAGACGGTCATGGGGTCTGACATGCATCTACAGTAACAGAATAACACATGCTGATGCTTTTGCAGAGCTGGCAGTAACCTAAACAATGAAGTTTGGGGTGTAAAACACAGTACCAGATCTATTACGTTGACATCTATAAGAAAAACGTTATTGAGCTAATTTGGTTTGAAATTCATTATTGATGAATAATATAATTTTATAAGACAATGTGGTATATTAAAGTATGAGTTTTCCTGTGCCGCCAGCTATTGAGCTCATAAATTAAATGCATGTGGTGAGTGCAAAGATGAATTAGGCTTATTTAGCACAATTAATCACATAAAAATAACACAAAGAACAAATTATAATGTTACTTTGATTTACTCATCTGCCACAATAAATGGGGCTTTCCCCCCTCATCAAATACTAATACTAGATTTCTCAGCAAATTAAATATATGCACTTCATTTGATAAAGTAATTTGCAATTTGATGTATTTAAAATGTTTAATTACAATTTAAAATTGCAGCCTTAGATTTACCCACAATTTGCTAGAATGAAAATACACATTAACATAGATCTGGACCTGATGTTTTACTTGTTAAAAAATGGCTCTGGGGGAAAAATAAAACAAAATAAAAATGACAAAGACATCCAGTCATTCAACCCCAAATCCAGAAAAGTTGGGACATGTTGTTAAATGCAATAAAATCAAGAATCTGCCATCTGTTCATTCTCTGTGTATTTTGTAAATATAAACAAATTTTGATTTTAATGGCCGCGGAAATGTAATGGAAATGTATGCTGTGGTCCACATTTCAGCCATCAGTGACAGGTGGAAATCAAATATCTGTCAAGGTATGAGGGGTGCATCAATGCAAACTGAATGGGCGATTTGAATATGTGTGAAGGTACCACTGAAGTGGAAGCTTATATTGGGATTGTACAGAGACATGTACTGCCATCAAGAAGACATATTTCCTGGAAAGGCCTCATTCTGCACATGCTAAAACACTGTGGTTTCTAGACACTTTACATTATAGAAGGGATCTGCTTGTCTCTAATTGAAAATGTAAGGCCCATCATGAAGAGGAGAATCAGACAACGATGAACACCGACTGTAGAGCAGATGTTATATGAGGTGAGATTGAGCAAAAAATCCACTTGCAAAACTTCAATTAGTATCCTCAATTCCCTAACATTTAAAGTGTCTGACACAGTGGTAAACATGCCTTAGTGTGTTGCAGCCATCAAAAAAAAAAAAAAAAATGTATTTACATTTGGTCAGTGATAACTTCGAAAATCTTCTTTGTAATTTTGTCAGTTCAATAAAGCTCAAAGAGAATTAACAAATCACATATTCTTGATTATATTGCATTTTACAAAATGTCCCAACTTTTCTGCATTTGGGGTTGTAGAACACCTATACATTTAGCAAGACATGCAATGGAGATGTGTTTATTTGGTAGAGCGGCGTGGTTTTATGCGAGCAATACCATGGGCTGCGGGACAACAGGGAGCACTTTGACAGAAGAGTTATGCTTTAAGCTATTCTTTGAGTTAAAGAGGGGGAAAAGGCTTTTCTTGATGCTCGGGTTCCTTCCCGCGTTGCCGTCCGTCTGCAATATAAGACGCACAAAACCCCAGTGTCTCATTCTATTAACACCAAACATCTTTTGTTGTTGAATACAGCAGATGAACATACGGTCCTCTGGCTCAATTTTTGTGGACAGAGCACAGTAGAGGCAGATTCTGCCACACACATGCTGCTCGGGTCTGTAACGGTCTCCATATGGCTATTATGGGGAAATACTACTGAAGGCACTGAACTGCACTGAGCTGAGAGTCTCTGTCGGAATCTATCGGACAAGTGGACGGCCTCCTTTTTGGGATGATGCGTCACTTCTTCACTTTCTTTTTCGCACTGGTCACCTACATGCTGATTGAGTTGACTGAAAACACTAAGAGGGGAAAGCCTGTCTATCAATTTTATCCATAAAAAGAGTTTTCCTCTATCCTAGACTACTACCTTGTGTACACAATACATCATTTAAGTTCAATGACTAGCAGACATACATACACAAACACAGCAGCTAAGCAACACGTATACATACATGTGAAATAATAATAAAAAATACACACACAGAAAAGGTCTCCTGGCTAAAGCATTACTTTCTCCTTACTGCATTTGATACCATTTTTGACAGTTGAAAAAGAGAAACGTAATAAGTAAATGAATCAATAGGACATTCTTACCGGCTGTGTCTTCTTCTTTTTCTTCTTCATTGCTCGAAAGAAACCTTGTTTTTCTTTTTGTTTAGGGACCTCTGGTGGGTTCATGACCATGGCCTCTGAATTATTCCTAGAAATTAAATCATTAAAAAGTTAATTATTAAGCAGAGAGATCTGGGTCATATTTCAAAACAAAACAAAATAGCACATTTCTTGTCTACATATTTAAATAAAAAAATAATGTCATTGTAATAAAGCACTGAAAATCCAGACATTTAAAAAAAAATAAGATCAGTAAACTTTTTCGTGTTTTTTCCATTGGTGAAATAAAACAAACATGTTTTTGATGTCTTTATTTAAGATTCACCCTATTACATAAGAAATAATTAGCAATTTTATCTGAAAACTGGATTATGAAAGCAAAAAATTATAATTATAATACATTTCTGCCTATAACTAGGTTTGTTGAATTTAGAGAGCATGCAAATGGCATGCTTTATTATTTTGTTTGTACACCCACTGTTGCCAGAAATCTCGAAACCGTCGAGGACACTACTTATTTTACCTTGATTTTCTAGTTTTTCATTTGAAGCCAAATATTTCATGCTGTCACTTCCAGCTTATCAAAGCATTTCATCTCACAGTGAATGTATGTACACAGAATGACGAGGGTGTGCTGCCTCAACACGCGTGTGCTCACCAGGGGTCAAAATTGGTCTGACGTTTAGGGTGGTTTGTCATGGCTGTGTTTTCTGCCGCCACCGCTGGCACTCTGCTCTGCCCAGCGCTTTCATGGAACGAGTTGTCAGGTCGAGGAGAGGGGACTGTGCAAATGGACACAACGAGCTTAACTCATTATTACCCCACAAATGTGACCCTGGATCACAAAACCAAGTAGCATGGGTATATTTGTGGCAATAGCCAACAATACATTGTATGGGTCAAAATGATCCATTTTTCTTTTATGCCAAAATTCATTAGGATATTAAGTAAAGATCATGTTCCAGGAAGATATTTTGCTATCGTAAATATAAAACATTTATTTTTGTGAGTGAATGCAGCACAATCATGGACATAAATGCACAACTTTAAAGGCGATGTTTCTCAATGTTTCAAATTCGGCCACATATTTTCCTATCCTAACAAACCACACATCAATGGAAAGCTTATTTCGCTTTCAGATGATGTTTAAATCTCAATTTTAAAAAAAATGACCCATGTGACTGGTTTTGTGGTCCACCAGGGTCACAAATAAATAAATAAATACATACCCAACCATTCAAAATAGTTTGGGGTCAGTAAGATTTTTTCTTTTGAAAAAAATAAATAAATAAGAAAAAGAAAAGAACTATGAAGGTTTCCACAAAAGTATTAAGCAGCACAATAGTTTTCAACATAATATATGAAATGTTTCACCAAATCATCATTTTAGAATGATTTCTGAAGGATCATGTGACACTGAAGACACAGGAGTAATGATGCTGAAAATTCAGGTTTGCCATCACAGGAAATTTCACAGACATTTTAAAATATACAAAAGTTTTAAATAGTAATAATATTGATCAAATAAATTCATACTCAGTAAGCATAAGAGTCTTCTTTCAAAAACATTTAAAAAACAAAACAAAAACAAAAACATACTGACCACAAACCTTTAAACAATAGTGCGTTTTTAGTTTGGAACAAACCAGCACACCAAAATCCCATCCCAAACCCCCAACATATACTGTACTTTTCAACAGGGAACAGATTTCATGCATGGGATTTTAGTAACTACTACAGTGCACAGATTAAAACAACACCTTTAGCATCAAGTTTGTCACAGAGTTAATTTTTAGGTTACCTCTGTAAAAGCTTCCCACTCTTCGAGGCATCGAGTCACTGTAGATGATTCTGTTCTCCTTGGACGAGGTTCCATCCTCCATATGTGCGTCATGGTACATCCCAGCCTGAGTTACAAGAGGATGGTCATACTACAGGACAGTACGGGACTGTAGTTTCTACAACTTTCAGTGCATACTGATTAACTGTAACTGAATATTTGCTTGGGAAAAAAGGAATGATTAAGGAGGAGAAGAAACAGGTTAAATGGATAGTTCACCCAAAAATGACATTTCTGTCATCATTTACTCACCTTCACATCATTCTAAACCCATGTGACTTTCTTTGTCCGATGGAACACGGAAGCAAATACTTTTGACTTTGGAATTTGAGTTTATTCCACTATTGTAAGGCATAGAAAAGGTGCCGTAAATATGGCACTTTTTTATTTAGCATTCTTTCTGAAGCTTGAAAGCTTCAGTCCCTACAATGTAATTGCATGGAAAGAGTATAGTCCTGAAATTTAATTCACAGAAAAAAGAAAGTCAAATTTGGAGCAACATGATGGTGCGTAATTAATGACAAAAAAATATTTTTTTTTGTGTGAACGCTCCCTTTAGTTGAGAGAACCTAGATATTTAATGCTGAAGACATTTGCTAGCAGTTAATGTAGTGACATGAACATTTACAAAACATCCAAATAAATGGTCTGAAAGCTAAATGTGATTTGCTTTTATGATCAACGCATTAAACAAAGATAAGCCGAGGCATGATAAACAATAGCAACTTGTGAGTGTGTGAATGGACGCGTTCTGAGGGTCCTGTTGAGACCTCGGACCTCGTTTTTTGGGCGTTGTGAGTGGAAGGTAGCTGTGTTGTCCCTCGTAGAATCTTTAATCGGGGGGCGAGAATGAGGCTTCTCTTTAGGAGACTGGTCATTCTGCAGACATAAACACACAGCAAAATAAGCAGACACTGGGAGACACTGGGAGTGTGCATGTACTAATCAGATAGAACGAAACAAAATGCATGAATGCAGGATGCAGCAGAGCCGTATCTTAAAGCTACACTGTGTGATTTTTACCCCCATCTAGCGGTGAAAAGGTATATGACCATCCAGTGAATATTAGTTTTTGTTCCTCTCAATTCCGATTTCGTTTTAACTCCTACGGTGGCCAATGTAGTCCAAGATTAGCTTCCATCGACCTTGTCCATGAGTGTTAACTCAAACGTAAATGCCAAAGGCGAAGCTTGAATTAACGGGTATGCCCCTCTTTGGCTAATGTACTTTCAAGATGGAGGGGCAACATGGCGTCCAATATTATATACCCCTTACCCGTATGTATTTTCAATGGCATATTATACACTCACGAGAATACTTTATTACTTGAACGAAGTAAATATACATTAATGAGCGCATGTATTTTTGAAAGAACTAAGGGTTTTTAGCAAAGAATAAACTAAAAGAGTTACACAGTGTAGCTTTAAATAAGATCAACTTCACATACGTAAACACATCACAATACAATCTCCTGAAATTAATCCACCGAACAAGGTAGAGAAAATCTGTGAAAAGGTAATATTCAGACAAAGATGGACACACAGATAAGAGAATATCCGCAAATGTTGATCACAGGAACCCACAGAGATTAGCATTTTAGCGAGATCAACGCCTAATACACCACAGGACACGGAGATTAAAACGAGAGCAGGTCACTGACCCTGCTCAGATCTTGCGTGAGTTCTTCTCGGGAGGAACTGGTGTTGTGGCGTGGGAGTGTGCGATGCTGGAGCTGCGGCGAGAGGAGTTGTAGGCTGCTGGCACGAGTTGGCACGCCCTGCCCAACCACCAAATTCGTCTCCTGGCCATGCGGCCGGTGTCGCTCTCTCCGCACGTACATGGAGTGGCGGTGAGGTCGCTGCTGCGAGGAGAACGGGCTGGTGTAACCGAGACCGTAAGGATATGATTCATGTGGGGAGGGTAGATTGTGAGCATGGCCCCCTGCTCCTGCGGCCCTGCTTGGGTCCAGAGTGTCCGAAGCCTTCGGTTCATCCGGTGTCTTTTTCCGTCCTGAAGAACGCCGCGAGTCTAGAGTGCCCCCTTCTAGACGCATGTTCCCTCGGCCACTAGGGCTGTGGCCCTGTCGTTCCGTCCCAGCATGCCTTTCACCCCTGGGGCTGCCGGGAGCCGCGTTAAGATCTAGACAGCTGGATGGGAAGTAGCGGGAGCCTGAGCCTGACCCCACCATGGGATCGTCAAGGTGGAGCCGCGTTTCTGCAAGATTGTTCACGGACTTGGCGTCATTCAGTGCCCCATGACTCTTGGACAGGCTGAGGAAGGACGAGGAGCTTTTGGAGGAGGACGTGGAAGGCATGGACCCGTGCGAGGATTCCATGTAGTTATGGCGACTGTGCTTGTCCCCAGACTGCAGCGTGCTGGTCTTCCCTTCCAGGAAGGATGAGTGGCGGCCTGTTTTGGACGACTTGAGGTACTTGCCCGTCGAGGTGTCCGCTCCCACAGTGGAACCTCCAACTTTAGGCCCCAAGTTGAAATCAAACTCTGTCTTTCCCTTCGAGTCTTTGGGGCTGAGGAGGTGCGGAAGGTTGTTGTTGGCCAGATCTTTGTTGCTAGAGGCTGAGCGGCTCAGGGTCTGGACCTGGTAGCTCTTGGGATGTAGCGTGGGACTCAGGGTGGATGAGGTTGGCATGTTACTGCCGTTCAGGAAGCTTTCGTTGCTCCGGTGGAGGTCCTCATGGCGCGGTAGAGACGAGCAGTCCTTGCTGTTAGCTCGCCGGTGACCTGAACTTTTACTGCCGTGGCTCCTATAGGGATAAACATGAAATGTTTATATTCTGGACATTATTTCAGCCGAAATCAAGATATGCATCCCTGGGTGATTTTTAAAATGGTAATGAAGGAGTTCAGTACCATTGGGTGGTAGGTCCTTCTGTCTATAGGGGCTTTCGCAGTGGATAGTTCTAGGAACTAGCCACCAGGATGCTTCCCTGAGAGCTAACGGTTCCCCTAGGAACGTATTCCTGGTTGAATTCGTACCACCGGTATTTTGACGGCGCCAAAATCTGAGCTCACAGCGTTTGTGTTCTGCGGGTTCATTCGTTTAGGATCTGCCTTAACAGTCCTGTCTAATACGTTTTAGATAGAACTGTTATACATAGAAAGTAGATAGTAATGAAAAGTTATTAGTGTTTGCCGTGCGGTTGATGCCCAGTGCTGCTAGCTGAGCGGAAACACATAATCATGTTTCTCTTAGTCCCCTCAAAGTTGTGTTGGATTTTCTCCTCAGCGTAAAGGTTAAGAGGCCTATCACTTTTTTTCATGTTTGTAAAGTTATTTTCTTGAGTAAATATATAGGCTGTAATCTGTGTGTTTACACAGCCTTTTTAAAAATGGCGGAAGCTGCTGGTGTTTCTGGTGCTGGGTTAGACCCTACTCTGAAGTAGGACCTAAATTACTTCCTCCAAAGGGAGTTCCTAGAACTAAAATCGTTCCTTCTGTAGTTCCTGAGGTGCGAACACACCAAAATCCAGGTACTTCCGCTAATAGTTGTAGGAACTATGGAAAGGTTCCTCTGGTGTGAAAGCCCCTTATCTCGTCTCTACTTACTTTCTTACTTGGGAAACAATCCTCATTTTGACAATTGCATTTTCCACTAGTTGCACAGAAATAACACACCTCGCATTGAACCTAGTATATAGAAGTAGCAATTACTGACCGGCTGGGTATGGTGTTGTCTCCGTGGTACGGTTTTCTCTTCGAGGAGCGAGGTGGGGTGGGTGATGGGGCAGCTGGCCGTTCCGGCCCTCTCAGACCCTGAAACACTGGGTGGTTCAGACACTGTTCTGTCAGAAAGCGTTCGGTAGGGTTCAGGCACAGCAGGTTCTGATACAGTGAAAAGAGAATGTGGAGAGTCATGCTACTGTAGAACAATTAAACTCATTCAAATTTAGTCTTTAACAACACTTTGCACTTGGGGGTAATATGACATCTGCAGTTAATTTTAAAATAAATCAACACCAATTATATCACAACTGTTGGGATTCAAAAGGGAAAATGTTCTCTGATGAGTGTTGCAGACTGCTCTACCTTCATTAAATCCAACATGAGTCCGTTGATGATACCCAGGTACCTTCGATCAAGCGTCTGAGGATGACTTACAGAAGGAAACTGACACAAAAACACATACTTACATAGTTAAATACAGACAGAGGGAGGACTAAAAATAGCAAAAGAATTTCATTTTCCGTTACAAATATGCAGTGTTGGGGAGTAGTTAACTACAAGTAGCGAAGCTACTAACTTAACTACATTTTTGAGTAGCTTGGCAGTAGCTCAGTTGCTTTTTAAACAGTGTAGCTTTTCCAGTAGCTAACTACTTTTTGCAGCAAGTAGCGGTGTAGCTCGAGCAAAAGCTACATTGTGTTTGTCGAGCCTGCGCGAATCAGCACGATGCAAGGATATTCTTCTTCTTGTTAGATTACAAACTAATTTTTTGCCATTACCGCCACCTGTTGTTTAATCACGCATCTTGCGGCTAACGGTTCACTGACGTACAGAAGTGTGTTGACACACACATGATGATGGAGCAAGATGTGACAGCAGATTTGGAGGATGGAGAAACAACTAAAGTTAATTATCCATGGCCTTATTTGTCCAAGTTCAATCAGTATTTTTGAGAAAATGTTCTACATGCAATTTACGTTGGATGTATATTTTTTTCTTGCAATGTTGTAGCCTATTTGTTACAATTTTGCACTTTTGACAAACATTCTGAGATATTTGGGTGTTGTGTGTAATAAAACAATACTTTTTGAAATCATAATTTTTAGGGATGCACCGATACCGATACCAGTATCGGGTATCGGGCCCGATACCAAGCTCATGTACTTGTACTCGTACTCGTAAAAATACCCCGATACCAAAGACCGATACCTCACGCGACGTAACTGACAGAACTTTCCAGTGCACACAGAGACACCAGATGCAATGTCAGCCTCAGCAGTGTGGAAATATTTTCAAAATCAATGATGACGACCCACGCATGGCAATCTGCACGATTATTTCTGCATTAATATCCAGAGTAGGGCTGCACGTTTTCAAGTTTTTCATTAACCGTTAATACTCGGTTAACCATAGTGTGAGCGCTGCAACGTCGAGATACAGAGTTAATTTTTAAAACCTTTAATAACTGGTTGGACCCCATTTGAAACGAATTAATTTATAGAAATAAAACGCAGTGATAAGTACAGAGCAGTTAAAGTAGGCACATTTCCATCACCATTCAAACTGAAATTGCCAATTGAAAATAGCCTACAGAAACAAGTGCATTTCGCAAAAACTCAGTGTCCGCAAATAAATATTTATGATCATCATCATTATTGTAACATTTTATTAGGCTGCATATGTAGACGCCTTTATCCAAAAAAGGATCAAAGCACAAATAAACACAATATTTTGACGCATATCCAGTGTTTGTGCTTAGTGTGGAGCGTGCACTGATGGCTGCGAGACGCCCATGTGAACACTTGCAGTTTCATTGCAGTTCTTTCAGTGGAAACAACTTAAAATACTCTTTGATTTCTGGTCATACAGAAAATAATAATACATTATTGACAAATACATTTATTTGCGTAAACTCACAATAACAAGAAAACGTTGTGCTTTAACAGCAGGCGCGCTTCATGAATCATGATCTCCGTGAACTGAAGCGCGAGAACTGAAACAGCCGCATTCGAATTTGTTCGTTTTAAATTGGACATTTAAAGCTTTAGCTTTAAATGTCCAATTTAAAACGAACAAATTCGAATCGAAAGCCAATATCTTCTGATGTAATTATGTAGCCTATAATTATGTATTTCTCTCTAAAGGTGGATCCGGGGATGGAGATTTGTTTTTAGCAGAAACTGATTTAGAAAACAATAGTTTATTAACAAACAATTAATGTCTCGTTATTTTATATTATTTTATTATCAGACACATTTATTATATCTTATAAATCATCTATAAATCTCCTTTCTGTAGGCTAGTTACGGCTCTACTCATTCATTACTGCGGGAAAATATCATTTCCAGGTTCTAATTTGGCCTCAGAAAACCAGTAAAATCTTTTTTTTTCATATTCATTTGCCAAATATTTTAAATGTTTAAATGGGCAAAAAAAATCAAACAAATATCTGAAAATTCGTCGATATGTATAGCCTATCCTATATATTTTTGCGCAGCATTTGACGTAGTCCTACAGTTCAAATGAACATTTTGGTGTTCAACTTTGCGTTTTACAAAATAACCATTCATTTTTCGTTTTGCAATTAGGCCTATGGATTAAATAAGGGGAGACGAATGAACACAAAACAAGTACACTGACCGTTTGGACATAATACGAGGCAGAGTTCTTTTTTTTTTTTAAATCATAAAAGATTAAGGAATAGCCTACTAGACAAAACCTCAAAGAAATGCCAAAATCAAGACCTCGGAGCAGAAATGAGGGAGAAACACAAAGAAACTCTGTGTCTTTGCCTGCCATTAATGCTTGGATGACACACGACGTCTCCTCACATAAATAATAATAGGCTAATGTTTAGTGCGGTGGTTGTGATATAGACCGTTGCCATTATTTTTGGAATGACTTATTGCGAAAGAAAAAAAATGCTTTAGTCGCATAACATCTTTAATAGAAACGCTGTCATTTCACAATATTTTTTTATCGACATTCAGAAGAAAAAAAACGCAAACGTTTTGTGCAAATGTATTGACGCCACAATTTTAAACGGTTAATCGGCTAACCGGTTTTAACCATTAACACCCCTAATCGAGAGGAGGTACAAAAGCCAGTATAATACAAGTAACTTGATAAAACATCTGAAATTTAAATACAAAAGTGAGCACGGTGAATTTGCCACTAGCAGTAGCACTAGCACTCTGCAACAAACTTTGCAGCAAACCTTTTCAAGGCAAGAGAAAATGTCAAAAGATAACCCAAGAGCAATAAAAATAACAGAAATGCTTACCCAATTCATTGTTCTTGACAATAAACCACTCTAAATTTATTGGTTAAAGTTTGTTGTTAAAAAAATAAAGATGCTTATATGTTCATTAGTCTCATTGTGTTGTTCTTAGAAAATCAGGCATCGGTATCGGTATCGGCGAGTACCAGGAAAAAAATATCGGTACTCGTACTCGATCCTTAAAAAGTGGTATCGGTGCATCCCTAATAATTTTATTGCATTGTTTTAAACACTAAATATTTTAACATTTAGTGTTTAAAACAATGCAATAAAATTATGATTTCAAAAAGTATTGTTGTCCCCTTCTGTCCTCAGACACTTATTTAGTTATTAATAATATACGTTGTTCAAAAAAGCAAAAGTAGTTTCAATGTAGCTAGCTACTTTTTGATAGTAACTTGTAGTGTAGCTAACTATTTTTCCAAAAGAGTAGCTTGACTGTAGTTTAACTACTTTAACTTACGAGTAGCTTGTAGCTTGTCAAACTACAGTTTCAGAGTAGCTTCCCCAACACTGCAAATATGAGATCCTTTGAATAATTGCATTAAGTGGTGACATATTTGTGTACAATTGCCACTAAACTCTATGTTTGACTGTTATAGTCAACAGGGTTATTATTATTAATTAAAACTAAAACTATTAAAAACAATTTTTTGTTAATTGAAATGAAGCTGAAATAAAAAATATTACATTCAAATTTGAACTAGAGAAACATTTGAAATGCTGTCTTGATGAAATTAATTTAAGTTGAAGCATTAAAATTATTAACTAAATAAATGAACCCTAAAACAATGTACTTTCATATCCATCTATCTATTTATTTAACATATAGTCAACCAGTTATTACTGCAAATCAAATCCATACCGGGTGAAAATCTATTGAAAATATGGTTAAGAAAAGAAAAGGTCGAGCTTCATTCATTTACAGATGCCACAGAATAGTTTCAGATGCCACCAATAGTAGAACATAATTTAAAATATGACTTGAGTGTCCAAATACTTTTTGAGGCTATGTACTGTGCGTGTGTGTGAATCTATGTGCATGTGTGTGAATATTATGTACTGTGATCAGCCCTGTCAAGGCAAAGCCAGTTGTGCTTCACACTGGCACACAGCGATACATGAGTCATAGGCAGCCACTTATTCAGAATACTGGGATCCATGCCATTGGAAAGGAGAGGAGAGGAAAGGAGAGGAGAGAAGAGGCGAGGAGGGGAAAGCGCAGAACAGGACAGAAGAGTGAAACAAAATACAGGTCCTTACTCTTAGTCCGGCGAAACGAGGGTTGTTGTAGAACAGCTTCATCTGCTCTGGTGGTAAAGGGCCCAACACCTTTTGAATGGTGAAGAGCTGGTCGATTTCACTCTCGCCAGGAAACAGGGGCTGCCCATCACTCAGTTCTCCCAAAATACACCCCACCGACCACATGTCCACCGCCTTCCCATATGGAGCTCTGCGAGAGCCAAGAAGACAAATATAAGTCAAGTATTGACCTTCCTTTGAGTTTTCCATGTCCTTATTGATAATTTGTTTTTGAAACATGTAGTTGAACCATTGAAGCTGTTTTAGTGAAATAGTTTGATTGTTTTTGTCTTTCATTGACATATGCAAGAAAGAAAACTGTTTTATGAAGAAAATGTATGTTGCTTGCTAGGGTGATGAAGGAGGTTGCCAGGGTGTTGCTATGGCATTTTGTTATGCCATTTGTTTAGCACAATGCTTTGTGGTTGCTAAGATGTTCAGAGTGTTTTTTAAGGATGTTGCTAGGGTGGTTTCTAGGGTGTTGCTAGGCTTCTAATGTTCTCTGAGTGGTTTGTATTGGGTGTTGCTAGAGTGTTCAGGGTTGTTAATAGGGGTTTGCCAAGGTGTTCTAGGTGGTTTCTATAGGGTGTTGCTATTTGGTTGTTTTGTGGTTGCTAAGAGTGGTTTCTAGGGCATTGCTAGCATGTTCAGGGTGGTTTCTAAGGAGTTGCATTGCATGTCTTATGGTGTTCAGAGCAGTTTCTAGGGTGTTGCTAGGTCATTGTTGGGGTGTTCTGGGTGGTCTCTGGGGTGTTGCTATGCAGTTGCTATGATGTTCCAAGAGCATTTTTTTCAGAATGTTGCTTTGTGATTGCTGAATAGTTTGCTAGAGAGTGTCCTGGATGACTGCTTACTGGCCCAAGATAAAAGAGCCCAATCCAAGTCACTATAATGTTCTCAGCAGGTGGTGTATTACAGAAATATAAAATAATTCTTGACTTTGACTTAAAAAAAGATAACCTTAAAGCGGTCCTATTATTTCCTTTTACAAAGTCTTGATTTTGTTTTTGGGGTGTACTAGAATGTTATCATGCTTGATTATTCAAAAAACGCATACTTTTTCATATATTTTATATTTTTACAGGACCCCTCTCCCCATTCTGGTTCAAACACGCTGATTTCAATAAAATCCAAAATCCAAAATGTGCTGTGATTGGTTAGCTGGCCCAGTGTGTTGTTATTAGCATCGCTTAGCACGTTCGGGAAATGTTCCACCCCTCCATGACTGCAAGTTCATCTCTAGTGTAAAAATTGAGGATGGCATCAATTTCAATCCAATTCGAGCCTGATTCAGACCCTGACAATGTTAACTAAGAATTGTGCACAACGACAGACTTTTCAAGCACGGGTTTGACAAGATGTTTTGTTGGCATGTTTTTTGTAATTTTCTTATACATCATAGATACAAAGTTATCCACCATTTAATTGTGATATTTGTCGGAAAACTAAGGTAATACAAACAGTAACTGATCACAAAACCATGGTTTATTTTCCTAAGGAGAGGTAAACCGTCTTACAAAACCGAAACAATGTACACAGATAAACGTTTGGGTTATAAAGTTCAGGAACAGTGTTAAAATAAGTTAACCACTCTAAGTTCCTCAGCCTCAGGTAGGACAAACAAATGAGTTTTAGAAATGTTGGAAAAAACAGCGTCTCTTTAACATAGAGACAACATAGTCTTCTATAATGCAGCTCATCCATGCCTCGTCCTCTTTTTTGCTTATTCCATAGGCACAGATTATTTAAATGAGTACCATTGTGACTTCATAAGATCTGGAAAAATTGTGTCGTAGTCCAACCCAGTCATTTGTTTTAGTTATTGAAAAGTGGATTCTGTTAAATAAAATATCTCCCTATGGAATAGACTTTGTAACCTTGCAGATCTTGTTTATGCTCAAACAACAACATTATAGACTAACAGAAGTTGAAAAAGTGGAAAAGCATAACATGACCCCTTTAAAGATAATTTTGAATGGGTCAAAGGCTTTTTTCACCTGTTTTATCATCTGAAGTGCACAAATCACAAATCTGATAGCTTAGAAAGGTAATAGCAATACTTTTCAAAGCAGCACATTCACGTCTGCATCACAAACGGAGATTTACACACCAAAGTGTCATGCTTAGGGTTAAGGTTTTGTTCAAATCCCTAACTCTAAGTTTGAACAATGGCACCCTTAATAACGAACGAGGGATGAGGAGAAATGCCTGCAGATAGAGGCAGATAGATAGACATAACACTGAGACACAAATCTTTGCACTAACACACAGCAAGAGGGAGGGAGAGAATATTTGTGTGGGTGGAATTTAAATGGTGAGAGTTTCAAAAAATGTTCCACTGCATTCATCTAGTCTAGTGGCACACACTAGAAAATAACACTTCAATGGAGACAAGGACAAATAATCATGCACCTCACTCCTGATGTCACATCTAATGGATATATAAAATCAACATTTTTAAAAAGGATGTGCCCTCGATGCATATTAGAGCTTGTGTTTTAAGGGGGATTTGATTTTTCATCCCTTTTGGCTTTATAGAGGAAAATACTTCTTGGTCATTTTTCAGTTATTATGTCTCGGGAAACAATGTATACTAGAAATCACCTTGGAAAAATAGAGCAGGAGGTACATATATCAGGACTTACCCCAGGAGCAGTTCAGGTGAGCGGTACCACCTGGTCGCCACATACTCAGTGTAGTTAGCATCGCTGCCTTCAGAGAGATTGCGAGCAAAGCCTAGGGAGTGACCAGCCCGGATAGATAGACATAGGGAAGGAGGAAAGTGAAAAGGTATCTGGCATGAGCAAGACTGCACACAACATTCAGAGATCTTAATTAATCTTGCCATATTCTTCCCTCTAAAAATAAAAGTCTTAGAGAGAAGCCTGTGGAGTGAGTCATTCTCAATTTCCGTGGCATTCAGTGTGGAGGCAAAATTTTACCCTGAGTGAATAATATATACATTCCATCAGGAGCAGAACCTGGAGGCTGGGAAGTACAACATGCGATTTATCAGGAACTGAGACGACAGCCCTAACGTTACATTGGGCGAGTTCAAAGTTATTTAAGGAGGTTAAACAAAGTTATTGTTAATATACTGTATAAAATATATGATTCAATTTATAATTAGAAAATGTATTTATATTCAATGCGCGTCTATATTGTTGATTTATATACAGCAGTTATAGCAATGTTTATTACAACAATTATATCACCTTAATTTATAATTCATAAAAATATTTAAATTAAGATTATGTAAGTGTAAATGATAAGATATAATTGTTTTTTTCACAACCAGATCAGTAGTTATCTGTCACAAAACTAACAAAATAACTTTAACAGTAACAAACTATGATGAAAAGCAGCAATTTATTAAATATTATATTATTGTGTAAAGATAAAATAAATAGTTAGATTTTGAATATTTCTAAAAAAACAAACAAGAAAATAGTAAAAATAAAAAAATAAAAATAGTGATGTTGGGTTTTGTCGCACTGAATTACACTTTTTAAAAATAGTTATGAAAACAGTTTAACAACTCTGTTAACACTGCCAACAACTTCCTTTTCTGTGATGAGGGAGGATATTTCAGACATCTTCCATCATATATCTTGAAGGATCAAATATCAACTTAACATTTGCATTACATATAGTAGGCACCGTCACTCAAACATTTGCATACGGTGTGATTTGGACTGCTTCGTTCCCTTCCACTTAAATCCAAAGTCAGAAATTTATTTATTTTTTTTTTTTGCAGACGTCACCGCAGGACTCATGATGCCTTGAAAGGAGACCAAGCATTCAGCGAGAGAGATCAGTGTGAATATATGGGGGTGGCGGGTCCTGAATCAGACGAGAGAATGCCTCTGCTCACCAAAATCACACAGCTTCAGGATATCATTGGAGCTGATAAGGAGATTTTCAGGCTTGATATCTGCAGATTAAATAAAAAGGGATGGATTTTTCTTAGTGAGCTCAATTTGTGACTAGACTACACAAAAATTACACTAACAATAAATAAGAAATGTTGAAAATGACAAAATAAAGACATCACACATCTTATCATATTCCTTACTCCTAATGATACTTCATTCAATACTTCATTAAATTAAAATTAGCACTTCATAACAGAAAAGACCCACATACAAACATTGAAGAAGAACAAAAAAAACCTTACCCTAACTGTTCAAAAGTTTGGGGTTAGTAAATTTAAAAAAATCTATTTCATCTATCTATATACGCATTGTTATGTTCTTAAAAGGTACAAAGTACCCAAAAAGAAAATTCTGTTCGCTTTAATGTTTAAATGTGAATAAAATAACAATTCAATCAATTCATCATATAAAGCGATTGTGTCTCTTCCAAAAATCTGGAATCAATTGCTCAATTCAATTGGATTGCTTAACCCTTTCACGCGTACGATCACACCGGTGTGATTAGAACGGTCAGTGCATCACGTGATCAACTGCTAAATTCAAACTTGTTCTCGCGCGTTGGCTGGCGCTGAGCCAGAGACAGACGCACTCAGTGCTTTCATATATCACAACTATTGAGTGTTTTAAACCACATAATGTTTATCTTAGGTTTCAGACATTTAAATACTCAAAAGTACTAGCAAAACAGTGATTTTGAGCTTGTAAAATACGCACTGATGTTATAATAAAATGATGACACGTTTTATTCATATCAGATACACATTGTGTAAGTAGCTTAACATTTGACCCTATTCTTCTCCCAGTTCACCGGCCACTTACTTTCATGTATTTCGTGAGAAGTGGATGAATTGACGTGTTGTAAATCCAACAGATACGATTCTCTGAACTGTAAAACAAACTAAAATGGCGCCGCCCATTGTGCATACAGCTCAGCTAACGCGATTGTTATAAAGATGTTTAAACAACAAAACCCATCATCCACTTGCACATATTTGACAATCGGAATATCAATGTTTCATGCTATAGCTAATACATTTGTGAATATTTTTAATAAAAAAGGAAAAATGACATAAAAGCAGATCATCATTCATTCAGCGCTGTGTTGTGATTGTGCTGCGTCACGTGACAAGCAATGACACGTCACCATGGAAACATTAAAGTGACAAGTTCTAAATAACGGTCGCCCTGAAAAACTCACGCTAGGGGGTCAGTTAGAATATTTTAAACTTACGTATGAAAGGGTTAAAGATCAATTTAGGAACTTTTTGAAGCGTAAAATTGGTAGTTGCATCGACTGTCAATGAAGGGACAGAAAGCTCTCAGATTTCATTAGAAAGATCATCAGTTTTGAAGAGGAGCGAAAGTCTTACGGGTATGGAACGACATGAGGGTGAGTAAATGATGACAGAATTTTCATTTATGGGTGAACTATCCCTTTAAGATAATATGAATTAAGAAATCTATAAACAATACAGAGACTGTCATACCCCTGTGAACGATTTCATTCTTGTGGCACCAGTGAATAGCTTTAATCAGCTGTAAGATGTAGCTTCGTACTTTATCAGGTAGGGCACCATTGGGCAATTCCTCCAACAACTCAAGCATATTCTGAAATATATATAGCAAAACACTATCTGAAACAACACATCATCGTCATTTGAACTACAATTCAGACCAAACCAAATGAAAGTTAAAAGAAAGCTTGATTTGAGCTCACCTTCTCCACATATTCAAACACAAGATAGAGTTTTCCCCTTCGACGAAAAGCCTCTTTCAGTTCTACGATGTTGTCTTGCTTCAGCGTACGGAGCATCTTGAGCTCTCGTAACGTCGTCTCTTTAACCTCCTCATTCTCTGCGGGAACACACAAGGGGGTTAGACGAGATTGAGAAGGGGCTTGTGTTTTCTAGAGTAAAACAAATGAGCTATAGAGCTCTCAAAGAAAGGTGACATTATAAAAGGCACTTCTCACAAATGGGGTGCACTTTGGTGTGCCATTACCTTTTAAGAGCTGCAAATCTCTTTGTTGTGAAAATTAGATATGTTCGATATATCATTAAATTAACCTAGCATGAAAGTAGCAAATGTTTCCATCCCCCCTTAAAACGATGACATCATTGGGATCCTTGATACGATGGGAAAACAATCTCATGCCATTAACAATTCATCTCTGTTACAAATGTTATTTATAAAATAAACAATTTAATCCAATTTAATACCTTTTTTTCAATAACATCTGTCCATTAAATTTATTTTTGGTTTATTAAAAACTGTATTTACATATTTTAAATAGAAAACTTCAATCATTGTGTAAAACGTTACCAAATAACTAGCCCTTGGAGTCTGTGATAAATAATGTAAATTATACTTTGTGTCATTATGGTAACCATACAGTGTTGTAGTCTCCAACCAGTAAATTACATGGATGAAAAAGCAAGCATTTGGTTGTAGCAGTCTTTTACCTTCACTGTCCTTGAACTTCTTAATGGCCACAAGCTCTTTTGTCTCCTGCAAACCAGATATGTAAATCAGTTTGAGCGCCTTCTCAAACACAAGCTTTATTAGCAAGCTGTTAATGGACTTAACATGTAAAACAAACAGCTGAGGGCTGCACAAAAGAACTGAACCTTAGACGAACCACTTCCCGGTTGTATCAAATAAGCCACAAAGGGGTATTTTTCATGACAAAGCCCCTAACAATGCTTCCGCTAAATGGAACAATGTGCCTGTTTTCAAAGAATAGATATAATTTCATATTAGGATGTTTAATTATTAGGCGGAAGTATTGCATGCACGTATTTAGCCCTGTGTTCGGCAGCCCTTGCGGTGGAGAAATGTGCACCCACTGTCAGTCACACAGAGTCCCTGTCATCTGTGGTGTTGGACAGAGTCTCTTTTGCCTATCTTTGTCATTCAGAGCTCTCAATTTGCACTACAGCTCCTGCTAGCTGCTAAAGCCCATCCATTTATCACAATTCTACACAGTAAACACTCACTCAGGACAAACCCCAGACAGTATTATAGTGCCCAGATAAATGGATATTAAATTATTATTCTTCTCTGTGTATTTCAAAGGCAGTATAACTGAGCGCAGCAAACAAGTCTGACATAAAGGGAAACATCTAAATTGTAAGAAGAACTACTTGGCATAGTTATAGTGTCACAGAAAGTTTGTTCAATACAAGAAACACATTCAATAATTGCTGACAGATTTACTTGCAAAAAAGTATCATGGCATATGGTATTCATCAGGAATTATGGTATAACCATTTTTTTTTACATGTCCCATGATAATACTATAGTATTTATTTTTACTACAGGGCTATCAAAAATAAAAGTTTGTGTTTACATAATATATGTGGGTGCACTGTGTATAATTATTTTGTATATATAAATACACAAATGCTTTTATATATTTAAGAAATATTTTCATCTATATAGATGTATATAATATTTATATATCATTATATATTATATATAAATATAAATATTTTATAAATAAATAAATTTTTTTTCTTAAATATACACAAAATAATTATACACAGTGCACCCACATATATTATGTAAACACAAACTTTTATTTTGGATGCGATTAATCGTTTGACAGCCCTACCTTGTAACATGTAACATCCAATGTTAAACGAATATGGTAATATCTCAGTACCACAGTATACATCGTATAACTCGTGGACTTACCAAAAGGTACTGTGGTGATACCATGTGTTTTGTTTTTTTGTTTTGTTTTTTTTAACCATGTTCAGTACCACTAAGATATATTTGGATTTCCCATAGAGTAGGCTACCATAAATGTAAAAAAAGAAAAAAAAGAAAATTACAATACCATACATATACGTATGTTTGGGGTCAGTAAGATATTTTTGGAAAGAAATTAATAGTTTTATTCAGCAAGAACACATTAAATTGATCAGAAATTACATTAAAGGCATTCAAAATGTTACAAATATTTCAAATAAACACTGTTTTGAACTTTCACCATTCACTATAAAAATGTATTATGGTTTGGTGTCCAGTTCCATGGAAAAGCAACATCACTGTTTTCAATATAGATAATAACATTAAATGTTTCTTGAGCAGCAAATCAGCATATTAGAATGATTTCTGAAGGATCACGTGGCAAGTAATGATGCTGAAAATGTAATGAAGTCACATTTTAAAATTAAAAATTGTAATACTACTTCACAATATTACTGTGTTTTCACTTAATTTTTGACCAAATAAATGCAGACTTAGTGACCATAAGAGAATATAAGAGTACTACTATCTGATAACATCACTGTACCAAGGATGTACCGTCCACCACAGTACTTTTTATAAGGGTTAACAAGTCAACAAGCAACAACAATGCACATTTTTCTGTTTTCAGAAAATCCTCCAACTAAAAGCCATGTTTTTTCAACTTTTGGACGAAATCCATAAAATGCCCAAACCCTACAGATTTCAGAACATCGGTGAGGCTTGCATTTGAACCAGCTGCAATTAAACTGAAAGAAAATCCCAACTGAGTCTCCCACAACAAGGCTGGATCCAGGCGCAAGCTCTACCTGCCGCCTCCGGTTGGTAGCAAGTGCCTCGAAGGCTTCCTCATATTCTCCTCCGCAGTGAAACTGCAAGTCATTTTCACTTTAAGCACAGCTTGTCATGAACAGATATGATTCATGATCAGAAATGATTAAGAGGCACAGCAGACATGTGGGGCTGGATAAGGGACTAGCTTTTCCATATTGAGTAAGCCGGACCCCTGCATGGGCTACTTGCAGAAAGATCTGGCTGCTTTAATTACGCTGCACGGTCAGGTTTTCCTTTGGTATTAAAGCGATTTTTGTTGGCAGTGGCACAATATTCCAATACGGGGATTGGTTTCAGGTTCACACTGAACATGAAATCACAATCTGTACAGTTCTGCTGGATGTTGTGCTGAATAGCATGTATGGCCCTGTATCTTAATATGCATACTTCCATACTACAAAGTATGCAAAAAGCTGTACATTAAATGAGTACATTCATTATTATATCTGTTGCAACCAGGGAAGGGGTAAATGTAAAAAAAAAAACACCACATTTCCAAGCCAACATGGTGGACATAGCATGCATTTATAATACATACTTGCCACATATTTCCATCAAGTCTTGAGCATTTTTCCCTCATATTAAAGGGATAGTTTATCCACCCTCATGCCATTCAAAACCAAACTTACTTTATTCTGCAGAACAGATGATTTAAAAATGCCTCGGTAAAAAAGGTACAATATATGTAAGGTTTTGTAATAAAATATCCAAAATCACTTACACAGTGTGACATATTTCCTGCAGTTGTGTACTTACAATATCCCAAAAGTTCCCAAAGATTTTTAATTTCAGAGAAATTCCAATTTTAAATAATGGCTCATCCCTGGATATGTTCACCTGTCAATGACGTAATATATCCCTAGTTTCCGCTTGTACTGCCATAGTAACCATGGAGACAGACGTGGACAACCGCGTTACGTCAAGTGGCACGCTTACGCTGTTGTTGCAGTCTTTTAGCCTGGATGCCAGCCCGAACCCCACCCACACATTTTTTGGTCGGGAAGTTCGGTCTGGACTCGATCCATTGAGGAGTAATTATGATCAGTAAAAAATGGTCGGGCCAATCAAATTGCCAGGACGGGCTTTATCCGATGATGGACAGATGATCTGCAGTTACGTATCAAAGAGTGCTTGGCTTGAATTGGTTTACAACAAAGTTGACTGCAGCTGGAGAATTGAAATGTATAGATTCCGCTATCGCGTCTGTTTTAGAAGAAATCGACAGCGCATTAATTTTAAAAGACGAACAGAGAACTGCAATAAAGTCATTTGTCGATAGTCAAGATGTGTTCGTTGTGGTTTCTCCTTTAGTCGTACTCATGGAAGACCAAGTAAAAGAAACAACCGAAATGGGCATCACGGGCATCAAACAATGGTGACGCTTTGTTATACTACTCACGCACCATATCCATACTAGTTGTCACTGTACCCCTTATAAAAAGTGTATTTTTTTAAATAAACTATTAGATGATGCTACTATCACCTAGATGATGGTGAACTATCCCTTTCAGCGCATACTAAGAAAATAATGGGAATTAGTCTGTATCCTACTTCCAGGGTAAAGAAAATTCATTACAACCTGTAAATGTTTGCTTCGGCATTTCATTACAAACTGAAAAAAAAAAACTTGCAACATCATTTGATATTTTTAGTTTCTTCACTTACTTGACAAACCTGTCTGTCTTCGGTATATATATAGGGGGGTGAATGAGTCATGGACAGTGAAGAAAGCGGAGGGGTTGGGATCTGAAAGGTGTTTATGGAGAAGCTGAGACTTTCACAGCTTCAAAAACCCACCACACACACAGCGTCCGTGTCTCATATTTCTAATAACCATGGAGACCAACCCATAATTCTATTTACAAAAGTGCATATGCACTAAAAATATGCCTTTACCTTCCAGACAGAATCCTGTGATAATACAGAGTGACATCAAACAATGATATTTGGTGACAGGTAATCTGATCTTTAGCTAGTTGTTTCCGTTTTGGATTACAACATGTTAATGTATAGGTCAGGTGTACTTGTGAAAGACGGGCTGTTGACTTTGTTTTGTTGATGGGGAAACATAAGGGGCCGATGGGGGTCCAAAGCACACAGAGCAGTTAATATATCAGTACTGTGACTTACGAGGGGGTGCATGAGAGTATGTGTGTCGATAACTCTAGCATGGGGAGATAGTAGGATTACAAGCGGCGAGCCTGTTTTAATTCCTTTAGCTTCACAGCTTTCTTCACGGCCATTGTGCTGTTCAGAGGGTGGGAGGTCAGATCATTTGAGAGGGTATTTCTCTCAACATGAGAGCAGAAAGTCAGAAGTTTCACTTAGACATGTTCTCGCTAAATGCATGGTACAGTTCCTGTAATTTGTTTAGGAAATAATTAGATGCCATTTTAAAGACAGCTAAACCATGAAACAGAGCGGAACACGGAGTCAGTTCAGCCAACTTTTAGTATCGCTTACTTTAATGATGATGTTGGCATCAGTTCTTACATCCGTACGATTGGAACGACAATGCTGTTGAAAAACACAACACGGATCTAATTTCATATTGCCAACAAAGCTGGCGCAACCTTAATTGTCCTTGCTGCTAAGATAGGATACAAAACATCTCTCATGCCAAGCTGGGTTCCTGAGCTGGCAAGGTATCGTGAACTCAAGCCCTGTCTGCCTCCAGGAGAAACAGAGTAGATCACAGCTAAATTTGATATCTCTGCCATTCATGGGGTCACTATTAAAGAGTCATTTGTAGTAAATCCTCTTACTTTTGTCAGCGCTTGTTTAAGGGAATTCTATCAGGGAGAGCTTTTTTTTTTTTTTGATTGAGAAGTAAAATATAAACTGACAAATAAGTAAATACGTTGGATTAAATTCATACCGTTCAAAGGTTTTTGAAAGATGTCTCCTTTAGTCACCAAGGC